GTGTTGCCCTGGGGCAGACCAGCAGCAGCAATACCACCCTTACACCCATAGCCTCAGCTGCCTCTATTCCTGCGGGCACAGTCACTGTGAATGCTGCTCAACTATCCTCCATGCCTGGTCTCCAGACTATTAACCTCAGTGCTTTGGGTGCTTCGGGAATCCAGGTGCACCAGCTTCCAAGCCTGCCCTTGACTATAGCAAATGCCCCAGGTAAGGCTTCAAATTTTTTGCATTTAGTTGCACATTTAACTAGCACCTCAGCTGAAACTGTTGATTCCAAAGAAGGGAGTAACTTTCTTAAGGGCTAATCATTTAGGCAAGTCAGTTAGAGAAATAGCAATGATTCTGTTTGGAACTGATTTAACGGAAAATTTTTCCCCCAGTTAATCTGATGAGAAAGGAGCACTTCTGGGCAATGTACCCTGGAATCTGTACCTCCAGTGCCTTTAGTACTACAGAACAAGGATCTACAAACATTTTCTGTAAAGGGCTTGATAGTACTTATTTTAGACCTAGTAATAGTGTTTATTTTAGGGCTCTATATGGTCTTTTTAAAAATATTTTTATTGATTTCAGAGAGGAAGGGAGGAGACAGAGAAACATCAATGATGAAAAGAATCACTGATTGGCTGCCTCATGCAAGCCCCCTAGTGGGGATTGAGCCCACAACCTGGGCATATGTCCTTGACCAGAATTGAACCCCAAACGCTTCAGTCCACAGGCAGGTGCTCTATCTACTGAGCAACTTGGCTAGAGCAAGGGCTATATATGGTCTTAATCACATTTTTTATTTGTTTTTTACAACCCTTTAAAAATATATAAAATCATTCTTAGCTTGATGGTTTTATTTAGCTTTTGGGGTCCATTCTTGTGTAGGATAAAAATTGATTATAAACTCAACTTATTTATAGGACAGTTATTAAATCATCAGATATTTCTCATGAAGAACTGTAACTCCTAAGTGAGGGGAAAAGTGACGTAATGGGTTCCAGAAGGATTTTTTTCAACACAATAAGTTCTCTGGTTAATCTTTAGTTAATCAGGATGTTCTGCCCTGAGCAAGCTGGTTACTCAAGGTTTAATTATTTTTTTAACTCCTAGTTGCCTTAAAAGTAGAGGCCATCCACTTGCCTTGCACTAATGTATATTTTTAATAAGCTTCGTAGATGATTCTGATACTTCCTAGATAAGAGAACCACTTCTTAAGACTGCTATGAAAATAGTATGTGATTGAGGAAGGAATAGTGTGTGGGAGAGAAAGGGAGTGAGGCCTGGAATGAAGCGGGGAGGTGGAGAGGAATCAGGAATAAGGAGAATATTGAAGGGAAAAATAGTCTTTAGGGAAGAGGTATATATATAGTCTTTTAGAGAAGAGGTATATATATAGTCTTTAGAGAAGAGGTATATATATTGGAATGTGTATTGAATCAGTTGACCACAATATTCAGTCATTTACTTTGAACTAAGTGAATTTCAAATTGGTTAATTTGAAATTTAAATCATATCTATTTAAAAAGTTTACAGTCTATTTAGAATGTATCATTTTAAATTCCATCACAAGGTAGCTAATCTTTACTAAAGCATGATAAAAGGACACATATACGTTTTTATATTCTGGCACGATATATAAAAATTATGGGGAATTGTTTATTGCCATTGAACTCCTAGTTCTATTGGAATATATGTAGGTATATGAAATGCTTACTTCTATTATAGCAGGTTATACCATTTAGACTGGTTTTTATATAAGTGAGAATAACAAATAGGCACCCAGCCATATTTCCTGCCTTCTGAAGGTTTGGAAAATCTGGGTTGGGGGGTCAAGTTCCCTAACTTTTTTACATTCTTATGGTGTATTTACAATGACTACATTTTGAGCATTATCAAGACAGTAATTTTCTTAGTGATCTTACACTAGAAAGTTACAGTTGGAAGGGACCTAAGAAATCATCTGTAAATTACTTTATTTTCTCGATGAGGACATTGAGATACTAAAAAGCACTTTTAAGTGATGAGACTACAGCCAGAGGTTGGGCTTGTGGTTAGTTCTCTTAGGCATTTCATTACCTGTTAGTTTTAAGTCTGGACTTGAGAAATCCTTTAGATTGTTAAAAATGTGTAGCTTTGCTTCTTTGAAATTTAATGCTCTAGAGTTGGCAAGTGTTTTGTAGGCTAAAAATTATGAGGAAAGTTTAATAAAAAACTGATATTAACAGCCTGGAAAATTAGATACTTTCTGGTTAATCTACATTAGCACGTTTGTTTTCTCTTTGTTCTGAGGTTGTATCCAGTAGTTTGCTCTTCAAAGGAAAGCAAAGCTGTAGGATTGTTCCCATTAATAATAATTTGGATCCCTGCAATTTCTTAAAGGTTTATAACTTAAGCTCTAAGGAATAGTTATGAGGCACTCATTGCTAAATCATGCTCTGGGGAAGTCTGCCATTTAATATGTCATAGGATAGGGCTATCTAGCTGTTATAGATGTTCTTTGAGCTCAAGAAAATGCATGCCTTTTTGTAAGATAGCAGAGCTTGACATTCACTAATGAGATGAGGCACTGAAAGGCCATTTTGTGAGAATTGAAGTTCTTTGCTTCATTAATAGTGGTTTCTGAAGATACAGTTTCCTCCTTTCTGGTTAGTCATACTTGTGCAACGTTTTTTTCTCTTCAACTGATCTGACTTCATTCTTAATGAAAGATAATAAAATTACTTCCTTGAAGCTTAGTGCTGTTCAGCTGTTGCCTAGAAGCTGCAGTGTCTCATTTTACCTTTTCTGGTATATAGTTATTTTACTAGAAAAACTCAAGCTCTTGGCAGTATGATGTAGTAGAATAGAATAGGTAGGTAGATAGCATGGTTGTGAAAGACTAAAGCTTCCGTGGTGTTCCCTTGGTCTGTTTACATTTATTATTAAAAAATAAAAGAATCTTTTAAAACATTTCTAAGCTCTCCTGTTGACTTCTACTCTTGTTTACTTCTGTTTGCTGAATACACAGGCAAAGGCACAAACTTAGAAACAAACCAGCCACTTCTTTATTTCTGTGTTTTTCATGGCCCTGCCCCTCGTGAGTGGTAGTGAGGAAGGGACCACCCAGTAAATTAAGTTTAGTTTCCAGACAGTGAAATGATTGATGGGCTTAGTTTTTGTTTTATTTTTAAAGTTAGCAGCTTTTTCTTTTTTTCCCCAACACCCTTTCCTCTCATTTTGTAGTCATACTCGTAGATCTTTTTTTTTTTTTTTTCCAGTTTAAAGCTTCAGGTTTTTTTCCCCAATAACTGCTGAGACCTGAAAACTCTTACCCCAGGTTGAGTAGGGGCTGGCTTTGAAAGACTGAGTTTGGGTGACTTCGTGGGAGTTCTGCCTAATAAAGAGTGCAGGGCTTTGGCAGGAGAATAGAACATACTTCTTTGATGGCTATAATTCACTGAAGAAGCAAATTTCAGGCACTAAAAATAAAAAAATTCACATCTGTTCAGTTTTATCCGGGTCAGGAAAATGTCTTCTCTTAGAAGTTAAGTTGAACGTGATACTAGAGTTGGTTTGCCAATAGTGTCACTAAGCTTGGGGTCAGATTGCTGAGACCTAATTTGTTAAAAACTTGTATTTTAACCTGGTGCATCTGAACATTAGTGATAAGTAGATTTAGATGATTTAAATGTGTTGAGAATTGTTCTAGTGCAAAAGGTCATACAAGAGAATTTTCTATTTTAAAATCATACACTTTATCAAATATACCAAATGTTTCTGCATCATTTGCTTATTTGCTTTCTTTATCAAATATATTTGTTTCTTATGGTGATGTTAATACTTTTTAAATGATTTTAAGTAGAAAAGGTCTTTAAAACTTAGGTGTCTTGATCTGAAAAGACTGAGAAGACGGTCTTCAGACCTTTTCTGTTGCTCCTATTTATTCATTCCAGTGGCTTTCAGTAAATGACGTCATTGTTAAATCATACTGCGTTGTGTAATGTGGCCATTTTAGATCTTAATTAAATAACAAGAGCACAAGAGTGCCTAGTGTTTGAGAAAACTTTAGTATCTGTTCAATTCTCAATCGCCCTTACCTTTTAATTGTTCCACTTTGTAAAGTAGTATGTAAATGTTACCACTAATAATTAGTTCTGGTCATTTTTTGCTTTTAGTTGTTTTGTTGGCTTTGAAAATGTTGTAAAATGTAAGATGAACATCTGTAGAAAAGCTTTATATAACTAATGCTTTTTGTAACTAATGCTTTGTATTGTGTGTGTAAACACTACATAATAGTTGAAATTTTTCACTTTACTATTTAATTGAAAAACAAGCATATTTTTCATATTTCTTGCAGAAGGTGTGTCACAATAGTACTGTTCCTTTCTCTAGCATTGAACATACAGGCCCCGTTGTGTAGAAGGATTATTTTAAAACTTATTTGCTCAACTATGACTATATTGTTAATACTATCCTAGGTTTTTTAGAGTTGTTCTCCTTAAAAGACCTGAAAAATTTTCTGTAGAAAGAGTATTTTTCAGAATTGGTTGCAAATCTGAGCTGTATTTTGAATTTGTACTTTTGCTCTAATGTTTTTAAAACTCTGAATGGTTTATGGAAACTAGGCAGTATTTCTTGTTCAGCAAGTTTGGATGTGCCCATCTAATTTACACAGAATCCTCCTTCTCATGATGTATCTGTGTACAAAATAAAAAATAATTTAACAGTTTCAAGAAGGAGTTAAAATATAACTAGGTCACGACAAGACTTGCCCTTTAAGAGATGAGAGAATTAAGTTAGAAGTGTATACATCTCTGGAAAATTATTTTAAATGGTTTTCATAGGCAAGCAAATGTTTGTTGCTAATAACCTAAGGTTAAATGCTATTGAGCTAGATCTTTTAAAATTATTCAGTAAGTTCTTCATTGAATTGACCCTGTTTTGATTGCTTAAAAATTACAGCTCTTTGCAAACCTAATAAAATTAAACCAGACTAGCCATGGTAATAGCAGTTAAACTGACAGTTGCCAGATCTGGAAACCTTCATCCCTTCAGTACCTTCATTCAGACTTAACATGTTAAGTGCCCAGTCAGTGGTGACTGACACTATACTTTCCATCCGGAAGACAAAATAGGTTGGGCGTTGCCCTAGCCGGTTTGGCTCAGTGGATAGAGTGTCGGCCTGCAGACTGAAAAGTCCCAGGTTCTATTCCGGTCAAGGGCATGTACCTTGGTTGTGGGCA